GACATTGCTCAGGTAAATGAATTATTAAGAAGCAACGGTCGAGGGTGGGGAGTGTAATGGGAGTAGGAACCAGGGATTGTGTAAATTAAAAACAAGCAATGGGAACTTACACTTTTTTCTTGTCTGAAAATCTCTTGACAGCTTGATGATGCCTTTCTAGAGGACCTGGAGGCTCTGGACAGCCTTGCATCAAGCAGTGAAGATGAACCGGGCCCACCTTGTTTTTGCTCAACGCCGAAACAAATTGTTGAAGAGGACTCTGAGGATGACGGCTATGAAGCGTTTAGGAGGAGGCTTGGCACTGACTGAGCCAGTGCCGCATCATGAGCGTAAAAAAGATATGCGGACTATTGTATGCGTTGCTGTTTATGCTGTCCTTAACCACTGTCTTAGGGAAAAGCTTTTTGAAGATTGTGAGGGCTGTGTCATAGGTGCACCAGGCCAGCGGCACCATGACTGTGTGACTTGGACTTCAGTGGATATAAACTGCCAGCTCCGGGGCCTGTGTGCTGAGCTGTGTTTGGAAAGCTTATTAAACACTGTTATTGCCATAGGTGATGCTATGCAATGTCTGTGCCGAATCCAAGAACATTTAGCGCAAGGGGTGACCTTGAGAAATGCTGTGCAATTCAGTGGAAACCCTGACCGTGTTTTAAAGAAAATGACCAAACCGGAAGATGCCTGCTTAGAGCGTTATATTGACCGTCTGGTCTGCACAGAAAGTTACAGAACCCTGCTTAAGAAAAAGGCTATTTGTAAAAAATCTGAAAAGGGCTTTGTGACTATCTGTGTTTCTGTTAGAAGCTCTCTGGCCCTTAAAGGAGCTAAAAGTTTTTTAATGGAGCATCTCGGTTTGTTTTCAAGGAGCTGTATGTCTTTTAAATAAAAAATAAATTGTTTGTGAGAACCTAGTTCTTGTGTCTTTTGTGTAAGAGAGAATCATAGAATCATAGAATCATAGAATATCAGGGTTGGAAGGGACCTCAGGAGGTCATCTAGTCCAACCCCCTGCTCAAAAGCAGGACCAATCCCCAGCTAAATCATCCCAGCCAGGGCTTTGTCAAGCCTGACCTTAAAAACTTCTAAGGAAGGAGATTCCACCACCTCCCTACGCAACGCATTCCAGTGTTTCACCACCCTCCGAGTGAAAAAGTTTTTCCTAATATCCAACCTAAACCTCCCCCACTGCAACTTGAGACCATTACTCCTTGTCCTGTCCTCTTCCACCACTGAGAATAGTCTAGAACCATCCTCTCTGGAACCACCTCTCAGGTAGTTGAAAGCAGCTATCAAATCCCCCCTCATTCTTCTCTTCTGCAGACTAAACAATCCCAGTTCCCTCAGCCTCTCCTCATAAGTCATGTGTTCCAGACCCCTAATCATTTTTGTTGCCCTTCGCTGGACTCTTTCCAATTTATCCACATCCTTCTTGTAGTGTGGGGCCCAAAACTGGACACAGTACTCCAGATGAGGCCTCACCAATGTCGAATAGAGGGGGACAATCACGTCCCTCGATCTGCTGGCAATGCCCCTACTTATACAGCCCAAAATGCCATTAGCCATCTTGGCAACAAGGGCACACTGTTGACTCGTATCCAACTTCTCGTCCACTGTAACCCCTAGGTCCTTTTCTGCAGAACTGCTGCTGAGCCATTCGGTCCCTAGTCTGTAGCCGTGCATGGGATTCTTCCATCCTAAGTGCAGGACTCTGCACTTCTCCTTGTTGAACCTCATCAGATTTCTTTTGGCCCAATCCTCAAATTAGTCTAGGGCCCTCTGTATCCTATCCCTACCCTCCAGCGTATCTACCTCTCCTCCCAGTTTAGTGTCATCTGAAAACTTGCTGAGGGTGCAATCCACACCATCCTCCAGATCATTTATGAAGACATTGAACAAAACCGGCCCCAGGACCGACCCTTGGGGCACTCCACTTGATACCGGCTGCCAACTAGACATGGAGCCATTGATCACTACCCGTTGAGCCTGACAATCTAGCCAACTTTCTATCCACCTTATAGTCCATTCATCCAGCCCATACTTCTTTAACTTGCTGACAAGAATACTGTGGGAGACCATGTCAAAAGCTTTGCTAAAGTCAAGGAATAATACGTCCACTGCTTTTCCCTCATCCACAGAGCCAGTTATTTCATCATAGAAGGCAATTAGATTAGTCAGGAATGACTTGGCCTTGGTGAATCCATGCTGACTGTTCCTGATCACTTTCCTCTCCTCTAAGTGCTTCAGAATTGATTCCTTGAGGCCCTGCTTCATGATTTTTCTGGGGACTGAGGTAAGGCTGACTGGCCTATAGTTCCCAGGAGCCTCCTTCTTCCCTTTTTTAAAGATGGGCACTACATTAGCCTTTTTCCAGTCGTCCGGGACTTCCCCCGATCGCCATGAGTTTTCAAAGATAATGGCCAATGGCTCTGCAATCACAGCCGCCAACTCCTTTAGCGCTCTTGGATGCAACGCATCCAGCCCCATGGACTTGTGCACGTCCAGCTTTTCTAAATAGTCCCGAACCACTTCTTTCTCCACAGAGGGCTGGTCACCTCCTCCCCATGCTGCGCTGCCCAGTGCAGTAGTCTGGGAGCTGACCTTGTTCGTGAAGACAGAGGCAAAAAAAGCATTGAGTACATTACTTTTTCCACATCCTCTCTCACTAGGTTGCCTCCCTCATTCAGTAAGGGGCCCACACTTTCCTTGACTTTTTTCTTGTTGCTAACATACCTGAAGAAACCCTTCTTGTTACTCTTAACATCTCTTGCTAGCTGCAACTCCAAGTGTGATTTGGCCTTCCTGATTTCACTCCTCCATGCCCGAGCAATATTTTTATACTCCTCTCTGGCCATTTGTCCAATCTTCCACTTCTTATAGCTTCTTTTTTGTGTTTATGATCAACAAGGATTTCACTGTTAAGCCAAGCTGGTCGCCTGCCATATTTACTATTCTTTCTACACATCGGGATGGTTTGTCCCTGTAACCTCAATAAGGATTCTTTAAAATACAGCCAGCTCTCCTGGACTCCTTTCCCCCTCATGTTTGGGTGTGGTTTGGCTGGTTTTTCGTATCTGGGACCTGATGTTTTGGAGGCAATCCTGCTGGGGCCTTCCGTGGTAGGGCCTGGTCAATGACTGGCTTGGGGTCACCCATAACGAAATGGAAGTTTTCCCAATTTGGTTAAGGGGTCCTGGACAAAGCGAACGGATAAAGGGAGGCAGATTACATGTTCCTGGATGGCTGTTAGGACTACCTCTTTAAGTGGTAGGGACTCTGTGTGGGTCCCTCAGCTGGGCTGAGCTGAGAGTTGTATTTGCCTTAGATGAACAGAGTTCAGCAGTGTTTTCCATCATTCTGCCAGCAACAAGAGAGGACCGAACCGAGCAGCATTTCTGGTCATTTGGTCAGCAGCAGGTGTAGCAAAGCTGCAGCTGGGTCTACCAAAAGTTTCCAGCAGGAGAGCAGCAACCTGAGAATAGATATGTGGACTATGGTTGGAGCAGAGGAGTTGGCACCATCAGTCTACATTGGCCTAAATGACTCTGGTGAGGCTTCAGTATTGTCGGTAGGGTGACCAGATGACCTGATCGTATCGGGACCATCCCAATATTAGGGGCTTTGTCTTATATAGATACTATCCCCCTCGCCCTGAAAAAAGTGTCCCAATTTTTCACACTTGCTCTCTGGTCACCTTAATCACAGCTGGTAAATCATTATAGCAGGACAGGTTTTAGAGCCCCAGAACTGCTTGAGAAACAGGGACCCTGATTTTCCTGGGACTCCAGGATCCACGAATTGGGTACCCATGAACTGTGAGTGAGGGCCTGGGATGCAACAAACAGCATCAGCTATTTAAGGGCTGTGCAATATGAAACTGGTATCATATAGAACCTTTCCCCTGTACGATATTAATAAACCTGACTGACATTAGCGATTTGGTCTCTTGGGTGTATTTAATAACAAAATAATGAGCCGAAGTGTGGTCAAACAGTTGTAATAATTGTTACAGTCAGCCAGAAGCTATCTAGCCAAAATGTCAGCGAAACAGAGCAGTCTAGAGTCACGACCTGACTGCTTGGAGGGGGAATCATGCTCAGTATGTGGTAGGATGGTAGTGGTTTTGTATCTTGGGTACACCTATGCAGCCAGCCAAGCCAAAGGGTGCTATAGGCACTCAGCCATTTCCTGTATGCACAGGAAATGCTACTATGATTTTTAATAAGTGCTACTATGGTAAAATGCCTTTTTAAAAGTAACCAATTTTATAAATAGTGCATGATAAAGTGCTTTTGGCAAAACACCAATACACTAGAACTTCCTGGGTGAAAAGCCAAATTTTAATTGTGTATATACAAAGATTAAAGCTCTTTTCTTGACTAAATGTCATACACTGAGTAAAAAAGAGAGGGAAAATATTCTTTTTTGCCAAATGCTATATAACAAACTTAAAGCCATGGCAAATAAAAGTGAGAAACTGGAGATATCAGAATCCTTTGTTCTATAATTTGTGAATAGTCATGTTGGTCCATCATTCAGGCTCGATACTGCAAATAATCTTAACCCTTGGGGTCATGTGTATAGCTTGTTTAAACTGAAAATGGAGGGGAAAACAGTTTTAAAAAAAAACGGTAAAGATGAGGAGCAAAACGGTATTGCAATGCATTTCCTCATTTGTTTAGTATTAAAAAATAAAGTAAGAAAGCTAACTAAGAACTTAAAACAAGAATAAAATCGAAATAGGAAAGTAAAACAACAAGTGGAAAGTATAAGCAAAGACAATATCCCTGATACTTACAGTATACAAGAAATGAAGGGAAAACTAGAGATTGACGGGAGAGATTCAGTCAGAAGGGGGGAGTGGATTTTTTTTTGGTAACCACAGTATAACAATCTTAAAAATATGTATGGAGTTGCCCAGAAACAGGAACTCCTGCAATCCCATTTACCATACAGACAAAAGCAACCGGTCTAGGGGAACAAATGCAGGTTTCGCGGGAAGATGTAGCAACTTGCACTCTCCTTCCACAGCCAGGATGTTTTTATTCTGGTTTCTAGTCCCCCTGCTCTAACCCACAGAACCCCACTCCCCTCTCAGAGCTAATCATATAACCTTCTTTTCCAGATATTTTTTCCATTATCAGTCAAGTTTTTCCTTATGTCCTTTCTCATTTGTTGCTGCTGCCTGTACTTTAAAATGACCTCATAGAGTTAATTGGTCTCGCTTGGCTCATGTCTCCTCTCATTCCTTCATTGCTGTCTCCTCACTTCTGCCATTTTCTTTGTTTTAAACATTAAAAGTTAAGAGTTATTACAAAAACCCCCATCACAGAAAGAGATGAAGCACCTGGAGAAAAAAGAAATCATCAACATGCTTAAGGTAAAAACTTGGCTTTAAATAAGTCCAGTAAGTTAATGATTTTAAACCTTCAGAAATGCAACTGCTGAAGACACGCTTAGCTTTCTTGAAAATATGGTTGCTAAGCAACCGAAATGCTAACTTTGCTTCTTACTTTAGCCACTAACGAATATATGAAACATGGGTTTTCCTTATTTCCATATAGTAGTATTCTTAAGATAAAAGTATTAGAAAGTAATGGAAACTGTCCTAAGTTAACTAAATTAACACAACAAAGTGGGCAAATAACTTAATAGGGATTTTTTTTCCCATTACTAAAAGTTTTAAATTAAAAGGTAATAACTTGCTTAATTAAATGCTTAATTTGTTTATTTAGTATGTCTGTTTTCCACACTGCATTGCCTTAATAACTTTAAGATCTTATCTTGTATAGTTATAAATATGATTTTGGCACCATTCATCTTTAATTGTAAGTTTGCTATATATGCCTTGTATGTTGTGTGTCATGTGATTAATTTTTGTTTTTATTTTGTTGCAACAAAGGCAATTTTACACTCATAATTATTAAAAAGTATTTTAATAGAAGTGGCACCACACTAATTTAATCTGGTTGGGTTACGACCATCATAATTACGGCTGTCAAGCAATTAACAATGTAATCGTGATTAATTGCGCAAGTGAAAGAATTTATCATGCTGTTGAACAATAATAGAATACCATTTCTTTAAATATTTTTGGATGATTTCTACATTTTCAAATATATTAATTTCAATTACAACACAAAATACAAAGTGCACAGTGCTCACTTTATATTTATTTTTTATTACAAATATGTAAAAAACAAAAGAAATAGTATTTTTCAATTGAACTAATATGAGAACTGTAGTGTAATCTCTTTATCATGAAAGTTGAACTTACAAATGTAGAATTTTGTACAAAAAATAACTGCATTCAAAAATAAAACTTAAAAACTTAAAATAAAAAATAAAAACTTAAAATAAAACAAAAAAGTAAAACTTTAGAGCCTGCCTAGAAGTCCACTCAGTCCTACTTCTTGTTCAGCCAGTACCTGACTGTATGGGCTCAGAACATAGATAAGGGCTCATCATGACCTAGAATGTATGTGCTCAGAACAAAGATAAAGGGGCACACCACAGTACCAGGAACAAACAAGGTAAAAAGCTGATTAACTGAATCCAGGTTCAGATGGCGTAGATACCTTTTACTGGTAAACAAATAGGGCAAAAAGATGGCTTTAGGGGTGTAACTTTGGGTAGCACATCTTGTGTGTAAGGTGAATGTAACATTGCTGCATGGGACTGCTCTTTGGAAACTGGTACCATATAGAAGCTTTTACCGGTATGATATTAATAAACCTGACTGATATTGGCTATTTGGTCTCTTGAGTATATTTCATAATGAAATAATGAATCAACGTATGGTTAAGCAATTGACTATACAATTTACCAGCAAGCATCAACGCTATTGGCTTAAATTAATTTCTAGACAACTAAGTTTAAAGATGTTAGTGGAATATTATAATTTACTTTATATATTTTGGTTATTTATGGGGTTTCAATAAGATATAAGAAATATTTAGCTTTAGGATAACCAATCAGGCATTTGGTTAAACAAAATACATGTATTTTTGGTACTTATAAACTGAAACCAACATGCAGGCATCTTCTCCATCTTAGCCTCACTGTAGTGAATTTCAGGCATTAGTAGTTATCAGACAATGGTGCTCTCGGTGACCAGGCATTGACGGTCCCACTCTGACACTGTCTTCCAGATGTTTTAGCTTCAGGGACTAACACTTTAACCAAAACAACTTGTTTTATATAGTTTATGGAGGCCTGCTTTCTCCTTTTGGCAAAGCTCCTGTGGGATGATCAGAAAGTGGCCAGTGCTTTTGGTGAAGTCTGGAAATGTCCAACCAAAATGGGAGTTGTCCCTTATCATTCAGGGAAGAAAAGATTTGTCTCTTACGAATTCTTGCAATTTTGTCTCTGGAAGATGCCATAATATTAATGGAAAAAAATTCTGTGCCATCCTTGTCCATGTCAGACATGCTAGGCCCAAGTAACTCATGCAAAACTTCTAAGGACATAAAAAGAATGCCTGCTAGTTTAGCTCTGACCAACATTCTACTTCCCCAGGTCTCTTCCCGGAGGCTTCCTTGGGGTGCAGTCCTTGCCCAACTTGGCACCACTCTAGATCCTTCTCCAAGTCACAATTTCTCTGTCAGCACATTGAGCTGTCTACATAAATGTCCATTTTGAAAAGAGTAGAGATTTTTATGTACGGTCTTTTCACATTCCTTGATAATTTTCCACTTCTTTCATACCTAATCAGGTAGCAACATAACCCATTTGACTCAGTTACTTTATTCATCATTAATAATGTTGGTAACAAATAAAGGAGTATTAAGAAAACAGCTGTATAAACCTCTCTACCAGTAACTGGTAATTTTGTACACTTCTGAGGTAAGTTAATAGGATCATGTGAAATGCTGTTCTATGTCTGTAAATTGGCAAATTGTTGATCAATCTTTTTATTCATTTAGGCTTTATAACATTTTATTGGATTTCACCTTACAGCTTTTCATTTCACATTGGTTTCTCAATATACTAGTTGAATGTACCACCTTCTCTAGTATTAAACAACCATCTTGTTATACCTTTAATATGGACTAGTTAAAATATATATATTTATTGATCACATTTCTATTTAAAGGCTCTTAATCAAAGTAAGCTGTCGTGGGATAAGAGGAATGGTCCTCTCACGGATTGATAACTGGTTAAAAGATAGGAAACAAAGGGTAGGAAGAATTGGTCAGTTTTCAGAATGGAGAGAGGTAAATAGTGGTGTCCCCCAGGGGTCTGTAATGGGACTAGTCCTATTCAACATATTTTTAAATGATCTGGAAAAAGGGGTAAACAGTGAGGTGGCAAACTTTTCAGATGATACAAAACTACACAAGATAGTTAAGTCCCAAGCAGACTGCAAAGAGCTACAAAGGGATCTCACAAAACTGGGTGACTAGGCAACAAAATGGCAGATGAAATTCAATGTTGATAAATGCAAAGTAATTCACATTGGAAAACATAATTCCAACTATATATATGGAATGATGGGGTTCTAAATTAGCTGTTGCCACTCAAGAAAGAGATCTTAGAGTCATTATGGATAGCTCTCTGAAAACATCCACTCAATGTGCAGCAGCAGTCAAAAAAGTGAACAGAATGTTGGGAATCATTAAGAAAGGGATAGATAATAAGACAGAAAATATCATATTGCCTCTGTATAAATCCATGGTACTTCCACATCTTGAATACTGTGTACAGATGTAGTTGCCCCATCTTAAAGATATAGGATGAAATTTAATAGTGAGAAGTGTAAGGTTATGCATTTAGGGATTAATAACAAGAATTTTAGTTATAAACTGGGGACGCATCAATTAGAAGTAACGGAGGAGGAGAAGGAGCTTGGAGTATTGGTTGATCATAGGATGACTATGAGCTGCCAATGTGATATGGCCGTGAAAAAAGCTAATGCGGTCTTAGGATGCATCAGGAGAGGTATTTCCAGTAGAGATAAGGAGGTTTTAGTACCTTTATACAAGGCACTGGTGAGACCTCACCTGGAATACTGTGTGCAGTTCTGGTCTCCCATGTTTAAGAAGGATGAATTCAAACTGGAACAGGTACAGAGAAGGGCTACTAGGATGATCCAAGGAATGGAAAAACCTGTCTTATGAAAGGAGACTCAAAGAGCTTGGCTTGTTTAGCCTAACCAAAAGAAGGTTGAGGGGAGATATGATTGCTCTCTATAAATATATCAGAGGGATAAATACCAGAGAGGGAGAGGAATTATTTAAACTCAGTACCAATGTGGACACAAGAACAAATGGATATAAACTGGTCATTGGGAAGTTTAGACTTGAAATTAGATGAAGGTTTCTTACCATCAGAGGAGTGAAGTTCTGGAACAGCCTTCAAAGGGGAGCAGTGGGGTTAAAAGACCTATCTGGCTTTAAGATTAAACTCAATAAGTTTATGGAGGAGATGGCATGATGGGATAACATGATTTTGGTAATTAATTGATCTTTAACTATTCATGGTAAATAGGCCCAATGGCCTGTGATGGGATGTTAGATGGGGTGGGATCTGAGTTACTACAGAGAATTCTTTCCTGGGTATCTGGCTGGTGAATCTTGCCCATACGCTCAGGGTTTAGCTGATCGCCATATTTGGGGTTGGGAAGGAATTTTCCTCCAGGGCAGATTGGAAGAGGCCCTGGAGGTTTCTCGCCTTCCTCTGTAGCATCGGGCACAGGTCATTTGCTGGAGGATTCTCTGCTCCTTGAAGTCTTTAAACCACGATTTGAGGACTTCAGTAGCTCAGACATAGGTGAGAGGTTTATCGCAGGAGTGGGTGGGTGAGATTCTGTGGCCTGCGTTGTGCAGGAGGTCGGACTAGGTTATCATAATGGTCCCTTCTGACCTTAATATCTATGAATCTATGAATATATTAGAATTGGAAAAGGTTCAGAAAAGGACAACAAAAATTATTAGGGGTATGGAACAGCTGCCATATGAGGAGAAATTAATAAGACTGGAAGGAAGTATTTTTTTACACAATGCACAGTCGGTCTGTGGAACTCTTTGCCAGAGGATGTTATGAAGGCCAAGGCTAGAACAGGGTTCAAAAAAGAACTAGATAAATTCATGGAGGATAGGTCCATCAATGGCTATTAGCCAGGATGGGCAGGGATGGTATTCCTAGCCTCTGTTTGCCAGAAGCTGGGAATGGGCAACGGGATGGATCACTTGATGATGACCTGTTCTGTTCATTCCCTCTGGGGCGCCTGGCATTGGCCACTGTCGGAAGACAGGATATTGGGTTCGATAGACCTTTGGGATGACACAGTATGGCTGTTCTTATGTTCTTATGGTAAGTTGTCTTGCTAAGTCTTGTCAAACTACTGGATTCTGTTACAGAATTATCCACATATTTTTGAGAGAAGGTGAGTGAGGTGATATCTTTTATTGGACCAACTTCTGCTGATGAGAGAAACAAGTTTTCAAGCTTACACAGAGCTCTTCTTCAAGTCTGGGAAACATACTCAGAGTGTGATAGCTAAATAGCATGTGGAAGGAGGGGGAGGAAAGGCAAACGATACGGGTTATTAGTGGGTTATAGATTATGTCTCTATAACCCACTAACAATGCCCCCAGATGCTTTCCCTCCTTTTCTTTCCCTCCATGACTGGAGGGGTGTTAAAAATCTACTTTACCTTGAATGGTCCCTTGAAATATGTGTTAGCAACTCAACCACTAAACAATATCTTCCACCCTGTATTTAGCTGTGACACTAAGTATGTTTTTCAAACCTGAAGGCGAGCTCTGTGTAAACTCAAAAGAGATAGAAACAGTCCCATCTCCATCAGAACACACACAGTCCCCATTCATCAAAGTTATTTCACAACTTGCTTTTATTAAAAGGGGAGATGCAGTCTTTCATCTGTGGCATATACTTTTCTTTTTGGATTGTTCCAACCCACGTGGTTGTGTACAGCCCAAATGAACAGAATTACCACTTACATTGAAGCAGGATTCAATGATTTTAGAAGTGATAGGACGTCTCCCAGATTCCCAGAGATCTTGCCTAGACAATGAGCAGAGCCATCAGTGACACCTTCTGCAAAAAGGAAAGAGACTCTCAGATTGCTTGTTTATATTCATAAAAATGAAACTGTATGATGTTTGATTTCAGATCAAAAGGCACAGGATGAATTTCAACAATGGGGACTACAAAAATACAAAGATAGATAGATAGATAGATAGATAGATAGATAGATAGATAGATAGATAGATAGATATTCATTATTAAATCCAGAATGTGAATTCTTATTGACCATTGCAACATTCTGCTAAAGCGTTTTAATTAGAATAGCCATATGTATCTAAAGAGGTGAACTGGATGTCTCCTTGGCTTATGACATAAATAATAAACTTCTGAACATGGATTTCCCCTAACTTTATAGTATGGAAAGATGTTCTTCCTATTATCATTTTGCAAAAGATAAAATGATAATGACAAAAATAAATCCAGATGTGACATGATACAAAACAGAACCGCAGCAAAATAAATATTAAAGCATCTTACCAAAAATGGGGCAAAAATTTTGTAAACATTTGCATGACCTTTAATTACCTTTTTAATCACTGAATTAGAAACAGACATTTTTTTCATCAGAGACTGATATGTTAGTGAAAAGTTCCATCAACATTTTGAGTTTCAAAAAATTTCAGACCAGTTTTTAGCATTGGTCAAAAAACAAGACAGCATTTATATCAGAATGGCATCCTTTTCTTTTGTTGAAATGTTACAGCTTCAGTATTTCAACATGAACTTCTCTGTACAGAACCAAGCGCCTTTTCTATGGGCTTCAATATTATGAACAAGCCACTCCAGACAAACATTTATTATCTTCTAAAAATGTGTGTGAGGGGGGGTTACGTTTTCACCCTTTGTTATGGTTTCCCAACAGTAAAAATATGTAGAATTCCCCCTCAGTATTCCACCCCTTCTGCCCCTCCCTTCTTCCAGTGGAAAAAAGAGAAAATTGTAAAAAGAGAGCAGAAGGAAGAAAAAAATTCCAAAAAATGAAAATGGAAAAGTAGATTGTTTCAGTTTCCAAAACCCAAAATTAAATGAAATGTCAACACATGGACATGTTGTTTTGAAACATAACTTTCATTTAGAAATGTCTCACAGAAAACCAAAACATTGCAAAAGGGAAACTTTCCCAGCAAAATATCAGTTGTCCGACCAGCTCTGTGTAGGGATATTTGTACCAATGTAACTACACCAATGCCACAGTGGCTCACCCCCCGCCCCCCAGGGTTACATAAGCTGCACCAGTTAAGCTATGTCTGTATAGCAATGCTGGTAAAGCTATCAGAGGTGTGGCTGTGTTAGTCTGTATCCACAAAAACACTCCATGCATCTGAAGAAGTGGGTTTTTTACCCACAAAAGCTTATGCCCAAATGAATCGGGTAAAGCTATATAGACCCCCCTCTTAGTCTTGTCTTCTTAAAACACATCTCTCTGAAGACATCTGGGGTATATCTCCACTGCAAATGGGAGTGAGCCTGCCAGGTTGTATAGACAGACTCATGGTAGCTGGGTTGCTGAAGCCTTTCATCCCAGAGAGGAAAGGTTCTGCCAGAGTCTTTCCCTGGGGTGAGGGAAGGCTCTGGCAGCCGAGAGCTGCTAGAGCCTTCGCCACACTCTGCTGCCACAGTCTTGCCCTTTGGCAGGGAATGTCTCTGCCAGCGGGGAAAGTCTTGGGCAGCTCCCTGGAGTCGTTCTCCGTCACAGGGATGGGCTGCAGTGGTGGGGAGCTGCCTAGGCCTGTCCCCCGCTATTGGAGTCTTTCCCTGTGATGAAGAAAGCTTCAGAGGCAGGGATGCAGCAGGAGACTACACCGCTAAAAATAGCAGTGCTTATGGAGAGGAACAGCTTGGGCAACTAGAAAGCCGTCTAGGGTATGTAGCCAAGTACATATCCAACAACATTCATCCTTTATTCTGCTTGCCTAAGCCATGCCTTGTACAGTGCTCTTTGTACCAGGGTATTGGGCCTGTGGCCCGTCAATGGTTTGAGCATTGGCCTGCTAAACCCAGGGTTGTGAGTTCAATCCTTGAGGGGGCCATTTAGGGATCTGGGGCAAAAATAAGGAACAGTATTTCATCCTGCTGTGAAGGCAGGGGAAGGGACTCGATGATCTTTCAAGATCCTTTCCAGTTCTATGAGATAGGTATATCTCCATATTAATTAATAATAATTTATATTATGGGGTGTGACAGGCACAGAATTCAGCAGAAGACGTTAGACTTGAATTCATGGTCTCCTGATCCCCATCTTTCCAAAGGAAAAAACATTTTTTGAAGAAGCAAGGCTAGAGATGGAGAATTCATTTGGTCTGTGTCCCATCCAGATATTCAGTTCTGTGTGCCATGGGGAAGCAAGAGCATGCTCAGTGCAAAAAGGGTGTTGCTGGGGAGGTTAGTAGCAAGCCTCTAGCAAGCTCTACCAAGTAAAACCCCAGGGAGAAATGGGGATTTTTTTTTCACCAGCCAAAATTCTGACATGTCTGAATGGACTTTCAGGGTGGGTAACAAAGACACCTCTCTCATCCCAGAACTATTCTCCTGCCAAAGTTTAAGGTCTGTCACATGCTGTGGAGGCATTTCAGAGTTCTTTTTTAAAAAAGGAGAATTAATTATTATAATGTAATGTATTAACTGGAAATTTTAATATAGGTTGACAAATCTCTCTCTGTTATCCTATTTTATATCCTATTTTACATCTTACCTAGGGCAATCGGGAATATGAACACAAAAACCACGATAAGAATGTAAAATATCTTCATGGCTCAAGGTCGGCCAGGTGATCAAGATGGTCCTTTTTTGGCAAGAGAAGAGGCACCAAGACAGACAGGAGATGAAGAGCCCCTGTATGATAATGACACAGCAGCACCATTATAGTTAAGGTTGAATCATGAATTCTATTTAAAGGTCAATGTTTTTAATTCCCCTAAAATTGACATTTTAGTTTGTCTGTTAGTGGTTTTATCTGTTCGATTTTTGTCTGTTGGTTGGTTTGTTGTGTGCTTGCTTGCATGTCATGTGCTTGCCTGATTGAAAATTGTAGTATGGTCTGTTTTGGGGGCTGTGTGCAGAGTTAAGCAGCCTGCTAGGGTAGGCTGAGAGCTCACTAGCAAGGCACTAGCCTGCTATTCCTTGACTCTTAACCTCTCTGGCATCCCTTGATGGGAGGGTGGGGGAAGCTAACTCAGAGAGAACAGGGTTTTTTAAAGCCAGCTCCTAAGTGATCAGAGGAGCTTGAGAACAGGGGAATTTAGAAAGGGAGTGTGATAGGCAGATACACCTAACATACTCTAAACTTAGACAAACTGCCCATTCCATCCCACAGAAAATCCTGCAAGAGTAAATATAATACAAGCAGAAGTCCAGCAGCAGGGTGGGGTCTCTCTAGTTTATTGTACTGAATGCAGCATGTAGGATTACCTGCCTTGTCGGCCGGTGGTATATGTGTGCAAGCAACTCATGGCCCTCAGACACACAGTACAGGCTCATGAGTCCTAAGTCCAGAATGGTGGAACTGGAGGAGCAAAGGGAGACAGGGAAACACTGAGGGGAGACTTTCCGGGACACAGTAGAATGGTCCCACCCCCAACCTGACAGCCTCTGTGCTGTTGAAGAAGATGAAAGTCTCAGAGAAGGAGAACATCAAGCTGGAGTGGAGGATAACCATCCCATAGTTGGGACCCACCTTCCAGATGATGGTATGGTATCCTCTCACACTGGAGATACCCATCCTGGGGAGGGAACCCCAGTTACTAGGAACTGCCAGGTAATAGTAATGGGGGATTCAATTTTTAGAAATATAGATAGTTGGGTTTGTGATGAGCAGGAAAACTGCATGGTAAATTGCTAGACAGACTTACATTTGGTGCTGGGGTGGAGCTGGTGGTCATGGTTCATGGTATGTGTAGGTACCAATGACAGAGATAATGGTAGGAGAGAGGTCCTGGAGGCTAAATTTAGGCTGCTAAGAAAGTGATTAATGCTCCATGGTAACATTCTCTGAAATGCTTCGAGTTCCCCGCTCCAGGCCAGTTAGACAGGCAGAACAGCAGGATTTCAATGTGTAGATGAGACAATGGTGTAGGGATGAAGGTTTTAGGTTTATTAGGAATTGAGGAACCTTTTGGGAAAGGAGGAGCCTGTACAGAAAGACTGGGCTCCTCCTAAATCAAAAAGGAACCGGACTGCTGGCATGTGAAATTAAAAATGTTGTAGAGGATTTTTTAAGCTAAGGGCTGAGGGAAAGCTGATAGGTACAGAGGAGCAGGTGGTTTGGGTGGAGATATCCCTTGGGGGTGAGTTTACTCTATATCCTAATAAAGAGGATAGAAAAGAAGTTGGTAAAGTAGAGGTAGGAGTTAGTGAGGAACAGTTAAACATAAAAGAGTCCCATTTAAATATAACACATGAAGGCAACCAACTGAATTTTGACAAAATGTACAAGTGCTTCTATACAAATACTATTCTTCTAAATACGAAAATGGGTGAATTCGAGTTCCTGGTGTTAATGATGATATTGATGTAAAAGGCTTCATGGAAACTATTGATATAGAACTGTGTTAATAGATAGAAACACTAATACATATGTTCCAATCAAAGTCTTGTTTTATTGTTAGCTGAAGGGTTGTTGGTTTGTTTGTTTTTTGGTCAGCCTTCTGCACAAATGGCCCACCTCTTCTCATAAAATTCTCAAATGGTCCCGCAGGTAGATCTAATTGCGTATCACTGCCTTATAGTGTTAAAACTGAGAGGTACTAATGCAGGGGTGGACAAACTGTGGCTCGTGAGCTGCATGTGGCCCTTTTACAGTTAAAGTGTGGCTTGCGGAGCCCCTCCCCGGTATTCTCCACCTGCCAAACTGTTGGGGGGAAGCTCAGGGCTTCTGCCCTGTGGCAAGGCTATGTGGCTAGGGGCTTCTGCCCAGCAGGAGGGGGGTATTGGGGCTTTAGCCCCATGGGAGACACCTGCTGGGGCTCGGGGCTTCAGTGGATATGAGGCTTCAGCCCAAGCCCCGGCAGGCATACCCTGGGGGGAGGCTGAAGCTCCAAGACCCCCTGTCATAAATATAAAGGGAAGGGTAAACACCTTTAAAATCCCTCCTGGCCAGAGGAAAAACCCTTTCACCTTAAAGGGTTAAGAAGCTAGGATAACCTCGCTGGCCCCTGACCAAAAGGACCAATGAGGAGACAAGATACTTTCAAAAGCTGGAGGGAGGGAGAAACAAGGTCTCTGTCTGTGTGTGTGATGCTTTTGCCAGGAACAGAAAGGAATGGAGTCTTAGAACTTAGTAAGTAATCTAGCTAGATATGTGTTAGATTCTGTTTGTTTAAATGGCTGAGAAAATAAGCTGTGCTGAATGGAATGTAGATTTCTGTTTTTGTGTCTTTTTGTAACATAAGGTTTTGCCTAGAGGGATTCTCTATGTTTTGAATCTAATTACCCTGTAAGGTATTTACCATCCTGATTTTACAGAGCTGATTCTTTTACTTTTTTTCTTCTATTAAAATTCTTCTTTTAAGAAACTGAATGCTTTTTCATTGTTCTTAAGATCCAAGGGTTTGGGTCTGTGGTCAGCTATGAAAATTGGCGAGGATTTTTATCAAGCCTTCCCCAGGAAAGGGGGGTGTAACATTTGGGAGCATTTTGGGGGGAAAGACGTTTCCAAATGGACTCTTTCCTAATAATACCGGTTAGATGTTTGGTGGTGGCAGTGAAAGTCCAAGGGCAAAAGGTAAAATAGTTTGTTCCTTGGGGAAGTTTTAACCTAAGCTGGTAGAAGTAAGCTTAGGAGGTTTTCATGCAGGTCCCCACATCTATACCCTAGAGTTCAGAGTGGGGAAGGAACCTTGACACCCCCCCACCAACCCCACAGGGCAGAAGCCCCTAGCCACACCACTCAGCCACAGGGCTGAAGCCCTGAGCCCTGTCAGGCATGCCCCAGCTCTCAAACTTCTGGGGATTGTTGTATGTGTCTTAGAGGGTCAGTAAGTTTGGCCACCCTTGTACTAATGACTGAATGAATCATACATCTCATTAAGATTACTAGCTGTGAATTCACCCTTCAATTAACACAACTAATGACAAGTTAATGACAAGCTCTGGCCTAAGAAAAAAAGACTTTTGGATAGAATGACTGGGCATTGCTGCAAGTTTGTGAGTCATGGAGAGCAATTTCGTATTGGCAGAATGTAATCATAGTCTATGGGAGGGAAACTGAGACCTTTGAATGCCAGATGGGAGGGGAGATGTATTAGGCAGCAGAGGAGTGAGTGATGTGGGAGAGGGTTGCAGTGAGGGGAGAGAGAAGATTTATGGGGAGGGGGATATATTGGTTTGTATGGAAAGTGAGGGGTGAGAGGTGGGAGCTCAGGTGAGGTATGCGTGGGGCTTAGAGGGAGTGAAGGACTGGGACACTTGGAAAGAGGATATGGGGGTGAATCTGGAAGAACTGGAAGGGATCTCTAGAGGTCTAGTCCAGTCCCCTACACTCGTGGTAGGACTAAGTATTATCTGGGGACTGGAAGACAAGAGGAACAGGGGCACCTATCAGCCCCACATTCTCCCTTCCCATGTGTGCCAGGGTCTGGGGCTTGGGGCCTGGCTTTCAGAACTTTGAGTTTTGTTCAACTCAGTGTTCTGCAAGGGGATGACATACCACCAATCAACTTTAACGCTGCATTAACATAGCTTTGTGCCATTGAATTCATAGAGCGCTGGGCACTGTGATATACAGAACTGCAGAAATTTTGTTTGATGCAAGTGATATTTATCAGATGTGGGCTGCAATCTGTTAATTATTTTTATTTGTACAGCACCATCAAAATTCCTGGCACATATCAGGGAATTATGGATGAAAAAATCCCTGCCTTGAGCAATCTGCACCTGATAAATTCTACTGCCTGCTCCAGTGCCATTTGAAATCAAAGGTAAGACTCCCACTGACATGATTAGGGTTTGGATGAGGGCCCAATTGCGAGAGGAATTCCAGGAAACCGGTCTATCTGGGGAGAGATATGGCAGCAAGGTGTGTCTGTGTGTTTGTTCTGAACAAATTGTATCAATATCCTATGTGAATGTAGGGTATTTTCCTATTGTATGCATCCAAACCCAATGAGATAATGCCTTGCTGAAAATGTGTGTGTGTGCATGGCCAGGGTGGGGGGTGGCGGGATAGCAGGGAGAGCAAGCGTAGCTACTGAAATTCAGCAAGGGGATGGCCAGCCAGCTCAAGCGTGGGAAATGGGGTCCCAGCAATTCCTGCCTGCTCCCTAGTCTGATCCTAGGTGCCCCTGCAACTGCTCCCTCCCTCCAGGTCCTGCTATAAGCTCCGTATCCTGCAACCCCCGCAAACATGTGTGGGTTAACATGGGGGAAGAGCCCCTGCAATATTTCCATAATTCCAAAATTCTTAAAATTAACAAATTAAAACTCTCCCTTTTTCTTGTGGTTTTGTTTTGTTGTTGTAACAACCAGTAGCCTTCACAACAGCAGTGAAAAGGTCAGACACTTTTCATGCGTTGAACATGTGAGAGTCAATGGTCCCTGCAGATACTAAGCACCTGTTAAGGATTTGTCTCATCCATGCTATTCAGAGAGGAGAGAATGAGAAGTGACTGGGCTACAACAGCAGTGAGGAAAACTGAAGAAAATTGCTAAGGCTTCTGTAGTGGAATTGGGCCTATCAATGCAACTAGGTACTCACGGCTCACTGGGTGCCCAAGTAGGATGAAAGCAGTCGAGCAGCTGTGGCCTTGATAACAGTTAGTTTTTCACCTACTGCAGCAAACCTGCTAGTTTTGAAGGCCTAGATGCTGCCACATTGATATTAACACAACAAGTTTCAGAGTTGCACAGTGGCAATTCTGAAGGTCTGCCACTGTAGTGTGAACACTCATTACAGCAACAAAAGGGGGTTTTCTGTCACTGCACTAAATCCACCCCCCGAAGAGGCATAGCTAGGTCAATGGAAGAATTCTTCAGTCAACCTAGCGGAGTCTACACCAGGGCTTAACTACACCAGGTCGGCTTAACTATATCTCTCAGGGGTGTGAGTTATTCCCAACCTTGAGTGATGTAGCTGGGACAATCTATCTTTGAAATATTTTGAATCTTTGAAAACTCGTGGCGATCGGGGGAGGTCCCGTAGGATTGGAAAAAGGCAAATATAGTGCCCATCTTTAAAAAAGAGAAGAAGGAGAACCCGGAGAACTACAGACTAGTCAGCCTCACCTCTGTCCCTAGAAAAATCACGGAGCAGGTCCTCAAGGAAACCCACTTTGGAGCAGTTGGAGGAGAGGAAGGTGATCAGGAACAGTAAACATGGATTCACCAAGAGCAAGTCATGGCTGACCAACCTGATTGTCTTCTATAATGAGATAACTGGCTCTGTGGATATGGAGAAAGCAGTGAATGTGATCTATCTTGACTTTAGCAAAGCTTTCAATACAGTCTCCCACAGTATTCTTGCCAGTAAGTTAAAAAAGTATGGATTGGATGAATTGACTCTAAGGTGGATAGAAAGCTGGCTAGATCATCGGTCTCAACGGGTAGTGATCAATGCTTCAATGTCTAGTTGGCAGCTGGTATCAAGCAGAGTGCCCCAGGGGTCAGTCCTGTGGCCGATTTTGTTCCACATCTTTATTAATGATCTGGATGATGGGATAGATTGCACCCTCAGCAAGTTTTTGGATGACACTAAGGTAGGGGGAGAGGTAGATACGTTGGAGGGTAGAGATAGGGTCCAGAGTGACCAAGACAAATTGGAGGATTGGGCCAAAAGAAATCTGATGAGTCTCAACAAGGACAAGTGCAGAGTCCTGCACTTAGGACAGAAGAATCCCGGCTGGGGAGCGACTGGCTAAGCAGCAGTGCTGCAGAAAAGGACTTGGGGGTTACAGTGGATGAGAAGCTGGATATGAGTCAGCAGTGTGCCCTTGTTGCCAAGAAGGCTAATGGCATATTGGGCTGCATTAGTAGAATCATTGCCAGCAGATTCAGGGAAGTGATTATTCCCCTCTATTTGGCACTGGGTGAGGCCGCATCTGAAGTATTGCATCCAGTTTTTGGCCCCCCACTACAGAAAGAATGTGGACAAATTGGAGAGAATCCAGTGGTGGGCAATGAAAATGATTATGGGGCTGGGGCACATGACTTATGAGGACAGGTTGAGGGAACTGGGCTTATTTAGCTTGCAGAAGAGAAGAGTGAGGGTGGATTTAATAGCAGCCGTCAACTTCCTGAAGGGGGGTTCCAAAGAGATGGAGCTAGGCTGTTCTCAGTGGTGGCAGATGACAGAACAAGGAGCAATGGTCTCAAGTTGCAGTGGATATTAGGAAACACTATTTCACTAGGAGGGTGGTGAAGTACTGGAATGGGCTACCTAGGGAGATGGCTTCAATCCTGAAGCACTTACATGAAAGGAAAGTGATCAGGAACAGTCAGCATGGATTCACCAAGGGAAGGTCATGCCTGACTAATCTAATCGCCTTCTATGATGAGATTACTGGTTCTGTGGATGAAGGGAAAGCAGTGGATGTATTGTTTCTTGACTTTAGCAAAGCTTTTGACACGGTCTCCCACAATATTCTTGTCAGCAAGTTAAAGAAGTAGGGGCTGGATGAATGCACTATAAGGTGGGTAGAAAGTTGTCTAGATTGTCGGGCTCAAAGGGTAGTGATCAATGGCTCCATGTCTAGTTGGCAGCCGGTGTAAAGTGGAGTGCCCCAGGGGTCGGTCCCGGGGCCGGTTTTGTTCCATATCTTCATAAATGATCTGAAGGATGGTGAGGATTGTACTCTCAGCAAATTTGCGGATGATACTAAACTGGGAGAAGTGGTAGATACGCTGGAGGGCAGGGATAGGATACAGAGGGACCTAGACAAATTGGAGGATTGGGCCAAAAGAAATCTGATGAGGTTCAATAAGGATAAGTGCAGGGTCCTGCACTTAGGACGGAAGAACCCAATGCACAGCTACAGACTAGGGACCGAATGGCTAGGCAACAGTTCTGCGGAAAAGGACCTAGGGGTGACAGTGGACGAGAAGCTGGATATGAGTCAGCAGTGTGCCCTTGTTGCCAAGAAGGCCAATGGCATTTTGGGATGTATAAGTAGGGGCATAGCGAGCAGATCAAGGGACGTGATCGTCCCCCTCTATTCGACATTGGTGAGGCCTCATCTGGAGTACTGTGTCCAGTTTTGGGCCCCACACTACAAGAAGGATGTGGATAAATTGGAGAGAGTCCAACGAAGGGCAACAAAAATGATTAGGGGTCTGGAACACATGACTTATGAGGAGAGACTCAGGGAACTGGGATTGTTTAGTCTGCAGAAGAGAAGAATGAGGGAGGATTTGATAGCTGCTTTCAACTACCTGAGAGGTGGTTCCAGAGAGGATGGTTCTAGACTATTCTCAGTGGTAGAAGAGGACAGGACAAGGAGTAATGGTCTTAAGTTGCAGTGGGGGAGGTTTAGGTTGGATATTAGGAAAAACTTTTTCACTAGGAGGGTGGTGAAACACTGGAATGCGTTGCGTAGGGAGGTGGTGGAATCTCCTTCCTTAGAGGTTTTTAAGGTCAGGCTTGACAAAGCCCTGGCTGGGATGATTTAATTGGGCATTGGTCCTGCTTTTGAGCAGGGGGTTGGACTAGATGACCTCCTGAGGTCCCTTCCAACCCTGATATTCTATGATTCTATGATTCTATGGTGGAATCTCCATCCTTAGAGGTTTTTAAGGCCCAGCTCGGCAAAGCCCTTGTTTTAGTTCATAGAATCATAGAAGATTAGGGTTGGAAGAGATGCCAGGAGGTCATCTAGTCCAACTCCCTGCTCAAAGCAGGACCAACACCAACTAAAATAGGGATCGGCAACCATTGGCATGCGGCTCGTCATGGAAATCCTCTGGCGGTATGGGACAGTTTGTTTACCTACAGCGTCCACAAGTTCAGCCGATCGCAGCCCCCACTGGCCATGATTTGCCGTTCCAGGCCAATGGGGACTGCGGGAAGCGGTGCAGGCAGAGGGATGTGCTGGCCTCCACTTCCTGCAGCCCCCATTGGCCTGGAACGGCAAACTGCAGCCAGTGGGAGCTGTGATCAGCCGAACCTGAGGACGCTGCAGGTAAACAAACCGTCCCAGCCCGCCAGCGGATTTCCCTGATGGGCCGCGTGCCAAAGGTTGCCGATCCCTGATTTAGTTGGTGTTGGTCCTGCTTTGAGCAGGGAGTTGGACTAGATGACCTCCTGGCATCTCTTCCAACCCTAATCTTCTATGATTCTATGTTTTAGGTGTAGATCAGGCCTCACATTGCATCGTTCCATCACCCAGAAACAGCCCCATTGGAATCGATGTCACAGTTCACAGAGCAAGCACAACTCGTTGTGAGGGAGGGTGGCAGACTCCTCATATCTAGTCATAGTGCATTTTTTTGTGCTGCTGTTGGTGCTGTGGACACAATCTTAGCAAATCCCAGTCTTTCCTAAGCAGAGTATGTGCTGTTAGCCGCCAAAGTCATATTCTCCATAGCCCACCTAATGATTATATTATATTGTATTATTATTATATGCAGTGAAGCTACCTGGTGCAGTGATATTGGCCAGTGGGATCTTTTCCCTTCCAATATCCTCAGGAGAAAGGACATTCTTATACAATGGGACCAGGTAGAGAGAAAGATAGAACTGGTAAGGTCAAGACACAACATCTACTAAGGAAGAGTTTAAAACTCTGTGTTGTTGTTGACTTTTAAATTAGCAAATATTTCATTCAAATGCTTTTTAAGCACTTAGTAGGTTTTTTGAAAACATTCAAGAACTCCACCTCTTCAGTTCAGAGTTAATGAACCCCACAGACATTTCCCTGAGGACCAAAGAGAATTCCAGCAAAAGAAGGAAGACCAGACTTGATTTTCTTGATATTTGTAACCTAAATAACAAGCAGAAGGAAGAAAGTACACTTTACAAACCAAAAACCCTTTCAGGTATCCTAATACTTTATAAAGGGACAAAAAAGAGCACAGACCCTTTGCTATTTTTCCCTTTGCAAGTGCCCTACAATAACCTGGGTCAAATATCGACAGTGAATTAGAGTATTAAGACATGCCTGACATTGTACATAAACAAGGGTATCAGTAGATTCAATCTCTGAGTGGGGCTGTACAGGCCTCTAAGATGAAGGGAGTGGACCACCAACCATCCCTTGGAAAGTCAGGCGGGCAATGGGACATCTCCTCAAAACACTGAGGGGAAGATGTAGGAGGTGGACAGACCTCCCCTCAGAAACAGAGCACAAAGCAAAGGGGAAGTATAGGGCTGTGAGGAGGGATGGTTCCATGATGAGAGGCCTCCGGGAGAGGAGGTTTGATGGGATGTAATAAGAATATTTAATTCCCCTATCTCCCTAAGGAATAGAGATTTGGGCTCTGTGTGTGCGAGTGCCTCTGAGTAAGTGAATCTTCCTCAAACATCGGCCAAGTTTCCCTCCAACTTGTGTTTGGCTCTGAGAAGAGGCCAAAGTGGGGTTCATTGGCAGCAGAAGGGGAAGAGGAGGCATTTATTATTTTTTGCGCAGAGGGGTGTTTCCTATCTTTTCTGGAGCAGGTTGCCCATCCCTACCTGTGACACCCACATTCTACAGCCTCTCCCAAACACAGGTGTTGTCATCAGTGTGACACCCAGCACCAATTAAATGCAGGTCCTCGGGTTCTAGGCAACAGCTGGAGGGAACCAAGCTGGACCATTACCGCCTGTGGGGAAAGTGTGGTGCACTGGGACCTATATTAAAAGTGTATGTTATCGCTTTAAATGCTCAAGGTATTGTCTTGGTCCAGCTTGAAGGCTAGGGAAGTGTGTGCTCAGGGCTTAGCAGAGTCAGCAGCTAGACAGCCTGAAATAAGGTATAGTGAGTTGTGCTCCTCTGTTTTAGGGAGAAGCTTCTTTCTCTGTTTTTGTTTTACAGGGGTTGTGTATTGTTCTGAATTCTAAGAAACAAAGGAATGTTAGGATGTAACCTTCCACCAAGAGCGTTTTTGTTTTTATCTAACTTCTCTGTGGGTATGGTATGAACATAACAGGGAAAGAAGAGTGAGGTGACCAGCCAGAGTGACGTGCCCACTCCTTGTGTCCCCACTGGGTGGGACAGCATCTCGGGTCCCTGTCCTGTCTCTGTGGAGAAAGTGGCAGGTGAGAAGACCAGCACCCTAACAGAAACAATTGAAATACAGGGCAAAGACAATGGAATGAGGGACAAGTCCCTTCCAATGCCTCGTTTCCCTGTTTTTGTCCCACTCTGTGTGGCTGTAGGACTAGTGGATTCTGATACTTGGTCTTCTCCCTTCTCCCCTCAACTTTTTTTTATTTGCTGCCTACAAATAGTGGAAATGGAGGAAAACAGAAGGTGACGACTGGGAAGGAGATTCCAAAGCAGGTTGTTAAACTTTGTGGTGATTCATTGTTTGTCAGCTCTGAGGCTTGGTAACAATGAATTCCCCAGGGAACACTGAGGTGTTAAACTCCTCTATAGAACCCTTAGAAATTTTCCTGGCCACAATTTCAGCCCAATCACTTCTTGTTCTCTGCTCCCTAAGAGAAAGAGACAAATCTTAAAAGGAGCTTAGCACCTGCGACTGCCTTTGGCTTCCACATGTTTGATTCATCAACATTTTATGTCTCTACTTTAGATTGTTCTCATTAAGGCTGATGTTTGTTAGGTGGGGGAAATACAGTAAAGTCATGGTTTTCTCCCATCAATACCTGTACAATTCCTTAGTTTAGATTCACAGGGAAACAAACCAAAAACATAACAATACATTCCTGGCACACAGTATTTTCAGTGTGATTCTCTTTATTTCTTACTTTCAAAAGGATTTTTAACCTATTTGTAATGGGTTTTAATGCATGAAGTTTGGAAAATTCCTGAAATACATGTAAAATACTGGGGGGGCAATGTACAAAAATATACAAACACACACATCCTTCTGTCCATCGCTTCTTGGGTGTGTTCTAGAATTCCCCTCTACACTAGGGCCCTCATCTGAAGTCAGTGGGAGGATTTCCACTGACTTCAAAGGGCTTTGGACCAGGCAATAGATGTTTGCTAGGTGTAAATATTCATATTGCAACTGCATGAAGGCAGGGATCTGTCAATTGTATTTCCTTGATGTGCCTTGGGAATTTTTATGCTGCTGTACAGATAATAAACATTATAATTAAGAGGTTACAGCACACACTTTATAAATGTCACATGAATCAAAACAAGATTTCCACAGATCAGCATATCATAATCCTCAGTGTCCTATAAATAAATAAACTCCCAGTCTCCTGTCTAACTTGTAGTTTTTTCTCCTCAGTGACATTGAGTTCCTGGCCAAACGTTAGCCATGAAGATTCTTCTTCCTGGTGGCGCAAAGCACTGAAGGTAAGATTTCCATGAATGAAGGGAAAATATAGAAGGACATGTGTGAGCCTGTACTAAGGTTGCCTAAATCTTTGTATCATAGTTTTTTCCAACTCTTCTTCTAAAGAGCTCTAGTACTTACAGGGTTTGAAGCAGATATTTGAATTTAGCTGGGGAATAATCCTGGGATCAGGAAGGTCCCTTTGATATGCCTATGAAAATCTGTACAGATGTGGTTGAACTATAACCTGTAAAAACTTCACCTAAATTCTATCTAGTGGGGTGCTTCTAGGATTGGTTCTTGGTCCTGTCCTATTCAATTTTTTTATCAGTGACCTGGAAGAAAATATAAACTCACTGATAAAGTTTGCAGATGAAAAGAAATTTGGGGAGTGGTAAAAATTGAAGAGGACACAACTCTGATACAGAGTGATGTGGATCGCATGGTAAGCAGGGGGCAAACAAACAATACACATTTAAATAAGGCTAAATATAAATGCATACATCTAAGAAAAAAGAATGTAGACATAGTTACAGAAGGGGGCACTCTATCCTGGGAAGCAGTGACTCTGAAAAAGATTTGGGAGTAAGTGGAGAATAATCAGTTGAATACGAGCTCCCAGTGTGAAGCTGTGGCCAAAAGGGCCAATTCAGTCTTTGGCTGCATAAACAGCGGAATATCAAGTAGGAATAGAGAGGTTATTTTACCTCTGAATTTGGCACAGGTGAGATCGCTGCTGGAAAACTGGGTCTTGCTCTGGTGTCCACAAATCAAGTCTGTTGCACCCGTGCATGGTTTAAAGGATACATTGGGCGGAATGCTTGTCAATCAAATTTGGCCCAGCTGCCCCTCCATCATTTTGGGCGCCCTCCGCAAACTGCCTCTTTCATTCTTCCCCACCCCAGATAGCCCTGAGGAAAGACTGACCTGAATATCTGTGTGGACACAAGATATATCCTCTTCCTTTGGCCTGACCCCATGAAAATACAGTTTGTTCTAGTGGAGGGTGAACTAAGTTGGGAACCAGGAGAATATGAATTCGAGTCTAACTTCTGCTCACAAATGTTAATTATTCAGGGCTTTGATGTCCCTTATTATTAAGTGTTGTCTCACTCCTAGGAGAGAATACACAATCTGGGACTAAAACCCCAATCTTTAATGTGGCAAATCATTTTCTCAGTATCTTAGCAACACTGTCTCCCAGAAATAATCTGCTATATCTGTGTTCTGGGCTAGATTACTGCAAATGCCATTGTGTTGAGTTGTAGCAGTTTCTGAAGAAATGACATTGCATCTGTATACATTATTATTATGTTATTAATGAATTAGCACCTAGGAGCCCCTGGTCATGGATTTGGACCCCATTGTGTCAGGTGCTCTACAAAGTACAGCTAAAGACATACTCCCTACACCAAACATGGATAAAATGAGAGAAATTACATACAAATAGGGGGAGCTCCAGGAAGCAATGAGACATTACTGTTTAGGTCTTGAGTTTATGCCTGTGGGGATTGGATACTTTAATGAAAGCATAGCTAAAATCCAGTTTAAAATAGTCTAATCTAAATATCCCAAAGGGTGAGGTGATGGCCATTTGGGCTACATTTTCCAAAAGTCCAGCCTCTCTCCTATGACTATACCTGGCAACTGGGCAGGAAGAAACTATTCCTGAGTGCTGAGTTGTCACAGAATGTTTCTGCAGAGTCTCCCAGACCATAAGGCATTCAGACGTGAAGGGACTCGGTCAAACCCTTCTGTTCCTAAATGTTGCAACCATCCATCCCAGTGCTGAGCCGGTTCAACCCTGCTCAGCCAACCAGCATTTGTGATATTGCCTGGAACATCACTGTTACAAATAAGAAAGAGTCAGAACCGCAGCAGCAGCCACTAAGGGAAGTTGGCGATTCAGGCAGCTACCTGCTTCTTGTGCCTGCAAGGTGTGGGGCTGTGAAGGACATCCATGCTCAGTGCTGTGGTTCTGAAGTGTGCAGCCAGGGAGCCCGTGCTTCTGCTTAATTAACTTCCTCTGTTCTCTTCCTAGGGGCAGCCATTGAATGGGCAGAGAACTACAGCCATTTAAGTATTATGAAATATCAAGTAAAATGGGGCACAGGAAGATAATTGGGTTGTTTTATCTGGGTCTCAGTGAACGGGAAATTCATTAAAGCCCATCATGCTACAGCCACAGCTCTTGTTTCTCTGCTGTGTGAATGAAAATCATGATTCTTTTTTTTTGTGTGTGTGCAGTTTCTAATCGTGGAATCATTGGCACTGCCATATGCCTAAGTAAGAAGGGTGCCTGCTTCCTTTTCCATTGTCCTCTCAATACAGTGCGTATTGGACGCTGTGGTCTGTTTTGGCATTGCTGTAGGTGGTAAGTTCAGGATTTTCACAAGGGAGATACTGCACTGTGAACAGAACTATTTCTCTCTCTTTTTTATGTATCCAAGCTATTGTTTAATGCTCTTGCAGGCTTCACACACAAGGTGCAGCCCAGGGCAGAGGGCAATGGAAGGTCCTGTACTACCCTGATTCTGAACTGCCTGGGTGCTTCTTTGACCCTTGTTGACTTCTCTTACTTACAGCTGCCTTACTGTGCTGGCCATGGCTGGTCCACAGCCCGGAGCATCTGTCATGCTCAGTGCTATAGAGATTGCTCTGCTGAGATCAGATAATATCCAGCACCATCTCAAGCACTAACCCTAAGATAGTGCTTGCAAGTAGGGCAGCAGAGGGCCAGTTATGTCAACCCCGTTATACTCGTACATTGGGGTAACTCTCCATCAATCTTTTTATATCCCCTACATGTAGCCAGAACATCGTTAAGCACTCACAATAAAGGCAATTTCCAATCTCTTTCCATAATAAGTCCATCCTCTCACATGCTTGACCACTTTTGGAAACACCTCCTCCTTACGGCGTACATCCATGATGTTCTACAACCAAGCGTGGAATATTTCTTGATTGATTCAGCAAAATTCATTCAGGCATTTCTGGTGTTGAATGTGTTTGACACAAGTTCTGTTCACTCCTGAGACATGATCCCTGCCAAAAACAGAGGGATTCTTTGACTTGTAGTCAAGGAATTGTGGGAACTGTTGGCTCCTAATGAAGAATTCTAAATATGAAAGGTCTGTTGTCCTCAGTCTGAAGGGAATTGGTAAGACCTGCTGTAAGTCTCTCTGGCAAGCAGGAAAGTGCAGAAGAGCAGTAGGGATGATACAGAGTGATCTGGATCACCTGGTAAGCTGGGCTGAAGCACACAATATGGGTTTTAATACAGCTAAATATATATGTATACATCTAGGAATGTAGGCCATATTTACATGATGGGGTACTCTATCCTGGGAAATGGTGGCTCTGAAAAAGATTTGGGGGTCATGGTGGATAATCAGCTGAACATGAGCCCCCTGCAGTCAAAAGAGCTAATGTGATCATTGGATAAATAAACATGGGACTCTCAAATAGGAGTAGAGAGACTATTTTAACTCTGTGTTTGGCATTGATGTGGAGTCCTTTGTCTGCTTCTGGTGCCCAAAATTCAAGAAGGATGTTGATAAATTGGAGAGGGTTCAGAGAAGAGCCACAAGAATGAATAAAGAATTAGCATAGCTTATAGTGATAGCTGTAGGCGATCAATATATTTAGCTTAGGAAAGAGAAGATTAAGGGGTAACTTGATTACAGTCTATAAGTATCTACATGGGAATAAATATTTAATAATGGGGTCTTCAGTCTAGCAGACAGAGGTATAGTATGCTCCAAAGGCTAGAAATAGAAGCTGGGAAACTCAGCCTGGAAATAAGGCGGGCATAGTTAAGAGTGACGGTAATTAACCATTGGAAAAAATTATCGAGTATAGTGCAGGATTCACTATCACTGACAATGTTTAAATCAAGACTGGATGTTTCTTTAAAAAAATATTTTCAAGATAATATTTTAGGGGAACTCTCTGGCCTGTTTTATACAGGAGGTCAGACTAGATAATCATAATGGTCTCTTCTGGCTTTGGAATGTATGAAAACTATTGTGCATGAGAACAGCTGAAGGGAAGAGAAGTCCAATCAGCCCCTGAGGAAGCGCCTCTAGCCCAGAAACTTTTATATTTTCTTTTTGATTACTTTGTTGGCCCCAGATTTGGGAGATTTTGGTTCAGCATTGATGAGAAGATAAACTGCACCCTCACAGCATGGAAATCATGATGATTTTCCCAGAGTAAAAAAGCATTTTCAAACCAAATCACCCAAAAATGGCAGCACATTGAAACTCAGTGCATGGCCTAGTCCTCACTCCAGGGTCCATCCAGAACTACTCAATGTGAAAAACTGGAAAATAATGTAATTATAAAGGTGGGAAAATTGTAGCTCCAGTAGGTGCAGGGCAGCATTCTCAGAGCTGTGTTACAGAACATCTGGGTCCAGATCCTGCAAACATGAGGAGCCGTGTTGAGCATAAAGTTGCTCCCACATGACAGCAGGATGGAGGCACTGTCAAGCACCCATGTGTGATGGCTGCCATACCTTCTTTGTCTGCAGTCTGTGGTTTATGCAGAGCCCTCCAGAGCTAAAAGTACAGGTGTCAACAGCTTGAACTACAGAGCTAGCCTCTAGTTGGAGGCACAGCACTTACAGCTTGCACAAAGGGGGATGTGTGGCATGCACTGACCAGTGGGTGACAGATGCATATCAGAAAATGCCTTCATTCTTCAATGCAATTCAGTCATCACTAGTCCATTTTAAGGATTAATGCTACTTTCATTCCTTAACGCATCTTAGTACATACTCTGAGCATTTGCAGTTCTCGTTTCAGAATTCCAGAGCGATTACAAATCTTGGTAATCTTAGCGTTACCATTGCTCAGAATGTCTTTTTAATGCTTTAAACATGACGGTTCTCACAGTAAAGTTAACTTGGCAGCATTGTAGATCTGCAGCCCTTCTTATCCCCGTTCTTCTTGTGAGCTGCTGGATGTACCATAAAAACCTGTCCAGGATGCCCATTCATGTTGCATCAGGGACAGGTCCCAGAGAAGCAGTAGGGAGGAGTCAGAGATTTTTTCCAACCACAAAAACACAAGAGGGTCAGCTTCAGGGCAGGAGTTGTGAAGCTTGGAGCTGCATGAGAGCGACTTCAGCGCTGCTCGCCTGGCTGGTTCACTGGGCATTTTCAGAGCTCCATGCTTTCACCAGGCCAGGTTACTAGCATGGAACTGCCACGAGCATATGGTCAGGCTTTGGGCTTACATGACCTGGGAGGCAGAATAGGAATTGCCATGCATTCTTGAGGAACAAATCATTGATCATGTAAATAAGTCATTATTTAATTTTTCCCATAGGCAAACGTGTGTGTGTGTGTAAGAAAAACTGTATGTGGATGTGAGACATATTGTGGTACACTTTATGTATTTTGATTTTATTTTTCTATATGAAAAAGAAATAGTCAAGATTTTTAAAGGTCACAGGTTTGATTAAATCCCGCAAAGGAATTCCTCCTGTCTTTTTAATTTTGATACAGATTTTTCACTAAAATGTTCATCGTATTTACAGCAGGTCTAATATTTTTGGGTTTTTTTAAATGTCCCAGACTAATTTATTTTTCTGGTGGTTACTTTACCTGTGTAGAATGTTAAATAGGAAGGATTTTTTTAAAAAATAAAATTGAGAATCTGCCTTCTTTACTAGAGAGTAAGGGGTAAAGGGAGGGGAAATCCATGTTCAGAAATCTAGTGTATTTACCTGGTAAGCCAAATAGGCAGCCAGTTCACATGTTTAGCTATATCTGACTATCTTCATTGAAACTCTGTAGCAGTATGTTGAATACAGAAAATGAATCTCCTGCTCTGGTGTTAACCAGGGACATCTGTACTCACTGTTCAGTGATTTGAAAGTAAATATCATAGTTTCCTTGTTTTAATGGATTTAATCACAGAATCTGAGAGTCTCTTTCCTGTTTTCCTTTTTTAGGGCTGAGTGATGGCACCAGAGATTGTCAATGCAGAATCTCTGGGAATCTGGCAGAGGACACCTAGCTTCTAAAATTATTGAAGCCTTTTTATCTGGACTGCAAAGAATCTTGTGAGCTGAAGAAAACCCACAAGGGAGCCCTAGTATTACCCATAATGACTTGTTATTCTCCTTTTAATAAAAGTAACTCCTTGTGGCTGTGTATTGTTGAAACATGTGTGAGTGTTTAGATTGGTGCACAGGGGCTGTCAGGTATTTCTTTTCTATTAAAATCCATTTTTTTCCTCTTGAAATTAGAAATAAAAAAAATATAAAGGGTCACTATTGCATGCTAAATCCACCCAGTTGTGTTCCTAGACCAGGGAATATTCATATTTTTTTTATGTTTCAGTGAGCTCACATGTATAAATCTTTACCTATTCCTTAAACTTTTTACAAATCCATTTCATTTGTGTTGTTGTTCGAGGAGGGGGTCCAGTCACAGTTTGATTATGTGGTGTGTTTCAGAGTAGCAGCCATGTTAGTCTGTATTCGCAAAAAGAAAAGGAGTACTTGTGGCACCTTAGAGACTAACCAATTTATTTAAGCATAAGCTTTCGTGAGCTACAGCTCACTTCATTGGATGCATAAAGTGGAAAGTACAGTGAGGAGATTTTATATATACACACAGACCATGAAAAAATATACATTGTAAGGAGGGTGATCACTTAAGATGAGCTATTACCAGCAGGAGAGTGGGGTGCGGGGAGAGAAAACCTTTTGAAGTGATTATGTGGTGTGTAACGCCCACCTCGGTACTCCATGGCACCTCGACCCTCCTCTGCTCTCTTCTGTTCTGAAACCTTCCCATCACCAGTTCCCCTTCACTTGTGGCAGAACTTCCAGACATGGCCATGTGCAGCAGGTTCTCTTGCAGGAATGAAAATGACAGCACAAATCGTCCAAACATATAATTGTGTAGGTGGGATCTGGAGGAGACTGAGACATTCCCCCAAAACAAATCCACACAGAGAAGAACAGAGGAAATCAGGCCAGGCTTCTTTAAGGGCTGGGGCCTTAAGGCTAAGGGGCAAAGTGGTGACTTAATTACAACGTATAAGTACCTACATGGGGAACAATAGTTAGTAATGGGATCTTCAGTTTCACAGTCAAAAACATAACACAGTCCAATGGCAGGAAGTTGAAGTTAGACAAATTCACATTGGAAACCAAGCGTAAATGTTTATGTTGAGAGTAATTAACCACTGGAACAATTTACCCAGGGTCGTGGTGGATTCTCCATCATGGGCAATTTGTAAATCAAAATTGGATATTTTTCTAAAAGATCTGCTCTAGGAATAATTTTGGGGAAATTCTATGGCGTGAGTAGGAAGTGAGACTAGATGATCACAATGAACTTTTCATGCTTTAGAATGTATTAATCTATGAATCTAGGCATTCTGCTCCCTGTTACACTTACAGCTTAGGTTTACTGGTGCAAAATTGGCATAAGAGAGATTGGAATTGGGCCCATGATATTCCACAAAGAATTTAGAACAAGTTTCCTAAAGGGAAATGTCTGCGCTGTTGCAGCCTCAACTTTCCTAAACGCCTTACCCGATCCTACTCCAACAGTGGTCAGAAATTAACCTCTGCCATTAGATCATTTACAAGAAGTTTAGCAGTGTGGGCTCCAAATGGAAAATCTCATCCCAGACTTAACTAGGCAGATGCTATGGCTCTCCATGATTCTCTTTGTTGCACTGTCACTGAAGTCCAGCAGGCTGAGCTGTGCTGGATCCTGTTGCAAGGCTGTTATTCCAGACGGAGGAGCAGCTTTCCTTAGCCACCTTGGTCTTGTGGTTAGCACACAGGGATGACTGCTAGGGGTTAAGTAAAAGGCAATTTAAAAGTGTAGCTAGATTCCCCCTCCCTTAATAAGGAGACCTGAATCTCTCCCTTCCCTAGATGTAGAGAACTTCTCAACTCCCACATCGAGTCAAGGGCTTGTCCATGTGGTGAGGTATCAGGATAGATTTCAGGCCCTGGGGTGTGTCCGCTGTAAATCAGGTAACTGATGTCTTTCCTAGGAGCTTATGTTCATTACTAAAAAAGCTGTGGATTTTTTTAGCTTGGGCTAATTAACACATGAGCTATCCCAAGATTAAACAATGTGAACTCTCGGCAATATAGTCTGACCACAAGGTACCTTTGGCAAGATCAGTTGGTTTTCTCAATTGGGCCTACAATTGTACCATAATTGTGAGCTCAATTGCATAAAGTGAGGGAAAGTTTATAGTGTCACAATAACCTATAACAATAAACGTTGATGGGAAAAGCTGCAAAAGGGAGACAGAGACTGAATTAGTTCAAACAAAAAGGCTTCCTGATACAACTCAACAACTGTGTTAAGATCATGCCCGGCAAACACAAGATGTCGGATTCAGGGGAGGTCTCAAGTGGGGTTAAACAGGGATATGTTCTGGGTCTGGTGTTGTTAACATCTTTATTAATTACCTGAATATAGGAATAAAGAGCATACTTATCAAGTTTGCAGATGACACAAAGCTGGGGGTGGGGGGCTTGCCAACACTTTGGAGGATAAAGCTAAAATTCAGAGGGTTCTTGGTAAATTGGAGAACTGGGCTATAGACAACAAAATAAAATTAAATAAAGACAAATGTAAGGTGCTAACCATATGGAAGAAAAACCAAATGCACAAAAACAGAATGGGGGAAAACTGGTTTGGCAGCAGCACTGCTGAGCAGGTTCTGGGAGTTGTGGTGGATCACAACCTCAACATGAGTCAACAATGTGGTGCTGTTGCAAAAAAAAAAAAAAAATGCAATTTTAAGTTACTCAATTAATAGAGGCATGCAAGTCACAGGATGTGATTGTACCACTCTATTTGGCACTGGTTAGGCCTCAGCTGGAGTATTGTGTCCAGTTTTCATCACCAATGTAAGAAAGGATGTAGAGAAACTGGAATGGAAACTAGAAGTGAGCGACAAAGATGATCAGAGGGATGGAATGTAAGCCATATGAGCAAAGGCTGAAGGAACTGGGTATGTTTAGTTTGGAAATGAGGAAATTAAGGGGGAATATGATTGCAGTCTTCAAATACATGAAAGGCTGCCATAAAAAAGATGGAGAAAAGTTGTTGTCTTTTCCCACAGAGGGCAGGAGAAGAGTCAATGGGTTCAAACTACAGCAGAGCAGATTTAGATTAAATCTCAGGAAAAATGTCCTCACTGAAAGAACAGTAGGAAAATGGAACAGACTCCCTAGGGAGGTTGTGGAAGCTCTTTCAATGGAGGTTTTCAAGTGGAGGCTGGATAGCCATCGGTCTTGGATGATTTAGACACAACAAATTCTGCATCTTTCACATCTGCACATTTCAGGAAATTCCGCATGACAAATCCCTGCCTTGAGGAAGCTGCACCTGATAAATTCTACTGCCTGCTCCAGTACCATTTGAAATCAAAGGTAAGACTCCCACTGATGTCATTAGGGTTTGGATGAGGGCCCGATTGTGAGAGGAATGCCAAGAAACCGGTCTATCTGGGGAGAGGTATGGCAGTAAGGAGTGTGTCTGTGTGTTTATTCTGAACAAATTGTACCAATATCCTATGTGAATTTAGGATATTTTCCCATTTTTATGATTCCAAACCCAGGGAGATCAAACCTTGCTGCAAGCGTGTGTGCTGGGGGTGGGGAGGGGGACGGGTGTGGCGGGGTAGCAGGGGAAGCAAGGGTAGCTACTGAGATTCAGCAAGAGGATGGTCAGCCAACTCCAGGGTGGGAAATGGGGTCCCAGCAATTCCTGCCTGCTCCCTAGTCTGATCTTGGGTGCCTCTGCAACTGCTCCCCTCCCCCCGCCCCACCGTCCTGCTGTAGTCTCCATATCCTTCAACCCCCATACATATGTGTGGGATAATATGGGGGCAGAGCCTCCGCAATATTTCCATAATTCCAAAATTCTTAAAATGAGTGAGAAACACGTGCCATCTCTCCCTTTTTCTTGTGGTTCTGTTTTGTTGCTGGAATGACCGGCAGCCTTCACAATAGCAGTGAAAAGGGCAGACGCTTTTGGTGCGTTGAACATGTGAGAGTCAATGGCCCCTGCAGATACTAAGCACCTGTTAAGGATTTATCTCATCCACGCTATTCAGAGAAGAGAGAATGAGAAGTGACTGGTCTACAACAGCAGTGAGGAAAACTGAAGAAAATTGCTAAGGCTTCTGTAGTGGAATTGGGCCTATCAATGCAACTAGGTACTCACGGCTCACTGGGCACCCAAGTAGGATGAAAGTGGTCGAGCAGCTGTGCCCTTGATAACAGTTAGTTTTTCACCTAGTGAAGCTAACCTGCTAGTTTTGAAGGGCTCGATTCTGCCACACACAAATCGACACTACAAGTGTTAGAGTTGCTTGCAGCAACAAAAGGGGATTGTCTGTCACTGCACTTAATCCACCCCCTCAAGAGGCAGTAGGTAGGTCGATGGAAGAATTCTCCCGTCAACCTAGTGGTGTCTACGCCGGGGCTTATGTTAGCTTATCTATGTCTCTCAGGGGTGTGAGTTTTTCATAACGTTCAGTGATGTAGCCAGGTCGACCTGCATTTTAGGTGCAGATCAGTCCTTACATTGCATCTTTCCATTGTCCAGAAACAGCCCCATTGATATTGATGTCACAGTTCACAGAACAAGCACAACTCGTTGTGAGGGAGGGTGGCAGACTCCTCATAGCTAGTCATTGTGCATTTCTTGTGCTGCCGTTGGTGCCGTGGACACAATCCTAGCAAATCCCAGTCTCTCCTAAGCGGAGTATGTGCTGTTAGCCGCCAAATTCAGATTCTCCACAGCCCACCTAATTATTATATGAAACTGCAGTGAAGATACCTGGTGCAGTGCAATTGGCCAGTGGGCTCTTTTCACTTCCGATATGCTCAGGTAAACAGACATTCTTATACAATGGGACCAGACTGATAGATACATACAGAGTGTGAGAGAGAAATGGTAAGAACAAGACACAACATCTACTAAGGAAGAATTTAAAACTCTGTGTTTATTTTTTTAAAAATTAGCAAATATTTCATTCAAATGCTTATTAAGCACTTAGTAGCAAAACATATTTTTATAGATTCAAGAAGTCCACCTCTTCAGCTCAGGGTAAATGAACATCACAAACATTTCCTTGAGGACCAAAAAGAATTCCAGCAACA